AATATTATCTCATTTGATCTTTACAATTACTATGGGAAGTAGGTGCTATTATTACCCTCATTTTACAGTTAAGCAATTAAGGCAAACAGAAATTAAGTAACTTGCCCAAGGTCACACAGCTAGTGTGTGAAGCCACATTTGAACTCAGATTTTCTTCACTGCAGGCCCAGCACTCTATCCACTGGAGCTGTCATTCTCTGTATATGAACACCTATGGTCTTGCTGACCATCCACAAGCAATATGCTACCACTTCCCTGCTAACTCTTCCTGAGACACTGCACAGTTCTTTCCATCCACTCCTCCAAAAGGTAAAGATGGAGCAAACTGCTTTAGCCTTAGGAAAATTTCTGGTAATGGGGGGAAAAAAAAACACAACACTTGTCTGGGACTCGAGCCTGTGAGGAAACACCATCCAAGCGTGGGATCAGAGACAGAAGGACAACTGCTATCTTAACTTACTGCAATCTGACCACCTTCTTCTTTCAGATACAACTGGACATCCCTCAAGGCAGCTAATGCACATTGTCTGCAACACACAAGAACACAGAAGACAAGCATCAGAAGACAGTCTTGCCCAGGTATTCCTGAGCATCTCCTCCTTGCCTCTATTCCTAGGACTTTAGATTTTCCACATTAAAATAAAGGTTTAAAATAAAAAGTTTTCCAAGACAATATCTAAGAAAACTACTAAAATGCCCCTATTTTTGATCCAGAGATCTCTAAGGAGGTCAAAGGCAGAGAGGCCTCATATACAACAAATATTTGTAGCAACACTTTCTCTGGTAGAAAAGGACTGAAAACAAAACATAGCTATTATTTACATATTGCTTTAAGATGTATAAAGCACTCTACAAATATCATCTCATTTGATCCTCATAACAGCCATAGGAGGGAGTAATAATAGTCATTATTAATCCATTTTACAGATGAGGAAACTGAGACAGAGGTTAAGTGACTTTCCCAGGATCACACAGCTAGTAAATGTCTGAGGCTAGATTTGATGCTGGTCTTCTTGACTCCAAGTCCAGCGCTCTACCCACTGCACCACCTAGCTGCCTAGCTATGCCCAGTGAATGGGCAATAGTTATAGAAAGTATGGTACACGAATGCAATGGAATATTACTGGGGCATAAGAAGCTACGAATATGATGACTACAGAAAAGCCTAGGAAGACAGGTGACTGATGCAAAGTGATATAAGCAGAAACAGAACTGGCTCAGAATAAACTCACAGATATATTTCTAAAGTCCCCAAGACCAAAATGCTTTATTGAATAGCACTTATTCTAGGACTGTCTACCCTAACAAAAAGGGAGATAAAACTAATTTGAGAAGAAGATCTAAAAGAGTCTGAATCAACTGAAGGAGCCTAGCTAACATGTCTTTCTTTTGGTCACTATGTTATTAGTGATTGTCATGAACCAGAACAGCCATTTTTGACCTTTCCCTAGATAAGAAAAGGAAAGACTCATGCAAAACTTTTTTCTTATACAAATCCCAACCCAGGTTTTGAGAATCACCTCTGTGGTTTTTTTTTTAATCCCCTGCAAATGAAAATACACACATTTTTCCAAATATAAAACATGAATGGAATGTAAGTTATTCATTTCTACCCATCAGTTATCTAAGGTTCATTAACAGAGGATGACAGGTACTAGAAGTTGGGAATCAGAGAGGCTGCATGATTTGAAGAACATCACCACGACCACCACAAGTTACATACAAAGGGAGTATCTTTGTTTTGTGGTCCCTGCTTCTCCCCTTTAAACTTCAGGCCAAAAGAGCCTCTGCATTCCACATTCTCTCCATCCCCTTAAACAAACAGGATGATAAAAATAAGACCCAGGAGGATGGTTGAAGGAGATGCCCTAAGGGAGAAGAAACCCAGATATAGAAAATGGTTCAAGTGGAGGAAGGGAGGCAAAATACATTTAACTTTCCAACTTACTTCCGAACTTTCATGGCCTCTTCATTGTCAGGATGAAAGAAGCTATAAGAACTGAACTCCTTTACCACTTCCCGGCGGTACTCCCCAACGTTGAAAACTGTAACAGAAGGTAAAGTGACAACACCATCAGAGAAAGTAGAAAGGTTCCAACACATACAAAGGAGATAGGGTACCACTTCTACCAAAAGCTCTTACTTAGATAATGTGTGAAGACACTGAATTGAAACATACAGGTTCCCCCCAAATCTCCATCCATTCCTGTGAAAAGATGGATTCCAAGACTCCCTCAACCATTGCATCTAGTCAGCCCTGACTGTACATAAGGGTGATAAGGCTTGGTAGATATGCCTTCACATTGACTGCCCACCATGCCTGGAATGTATTCTCCTTATCTTAGAATTTCTTATCTTTTACAATCTCCATTTTCTGTCAAAACCCAACATAAGGGTCACATGAAGCCTTTCCTAATCCCCCCAGCTGCTAGTACCTTATCCTCCCCCCAAAATTAGCTTATATTTATTTTGTAACTTCCTATATATGTACAGATTGTCCCTCCTAACAGGATATAAGCACCTTGAGGGCAGGGTCTGTTTCATTCTTCTGTCTATATACTCTAGCCCCTACCACAGAATCTAACTGAGAATATTTGTTGACTGATTATCCAGTACCACCATCAATGGGACTTCCCATATTCAAGGATGTGAAACTGACAAGGCTGTGGCCATACAACCATGACCCCACATATAGAGGTAGAGTCTCAGAGATCCTCATAACAGCCATAGGAGGGAGTAATAATAGTCATTATTAATCCATTTTACAGATGAGTGAAACTGAGGCAGAGGTTAAGTGACTTTCCCAGGATCACACAGCTAGTAAATGTCCAGAGAAAATCTGGAAATAATGGATGTGGAGCAGCCTAAGAAACTGGAGATGTACGTTCTAGTCCCATCTCTGACATACAATGGCTATGTGACCCTGGGAGATGCACTGAATCTCTTAATGTTCTAGTGAATTCTAAAACTTTATGTTGCAGAACAGGTTTCTCTAAGATAAACACAGTCCAGTCCCACCCTACTATATAAGCCTGATTATTTCCCATTCCTCACCTCTAGTTATGAGCATACTCTCCTACTTTAAATTACTTTGAATATACTGTGCACTTATTTATCTGTATAAAGGTTGAATCCCCCAAGAAGAATGGAAGTTCTTTGAGGGCAGGGCCTCTCCAGAACTTTGCACAAATTAGGTAATAAATGCCTGTAGAAATTACATTTCCATATCCTCATTTATGCCTGGGAGGTAGATAATACAGGCGTCATGATGCCCATTTTATAGAGAAGAGAAAACTTCAGAAAATTAAGTGATTTGCCCATGGTCACATAACTTGTAAGTATCCGAAGTGGGATAAAAGACCTAGGCCTTTCTGAATTCTATCAACTCCCCCACAGCTGCCTCTACTCAGCAATAAAGCCTTCAAGCAACAGCTAGATCCCTCCCCCCAAGTTAAACCATACCAGCATAAGAACCCAGTCTTACCTTTTGTGGGGACACCAATCCAATTGAGGTAGCGTGTCAACTTCTTGGACATATAAGTCTTTCCCCTTGCTGGGAGTCCGACCATGACAATCACAGTAGGGGAATTGGTCAGCTGCGGTCCACAGGCTGGAATAAGGAAGAAGACCATAAATCCACACCTGGGTCTCAGTATCAAAACGGCGACCACCGAGATCTACACAGGTACACAGCTTAACTCAAAGACCCTTCCAGATATAATTTATATTTACTCTGCCATACTTGAATGCCCCAGCTCTATGCTCCCAGTTGTTTCCCCAACAGAAAAGAACACCTAGAAAATGGGAAAGCTGCAAGTTTGCAAAGTCACTGAAATTTATTTAGTTTTAACTTATTTATTAATCCTGATTTCTTCCCTCAATTATTTTGAATTTAACCTTTATACAGCATATTTGTACATAACTGTTCATACATTGTCTCCCCCATTAGACTATGAACTCTGTGAAAAAAGGATTGTATTTTTTTTTCTTTTAGTCTCCTGAGCTTTCCACAGTGCCTGGCATGTAACAGGTGCTTAATAAATGTTTATTGACTGACTTTGGTCAGGAGATATGCAGACACCTAATTTTTCCATCTCTACTGCTCTCAGGCCCTCCCCTACTACTCCTTCTACTTGATCCAGTGTTGATTCAAGCCAGCACCTGCTTAATGAATGATAAGTCAAGGGATGGCAAATACTCCATCCAAGTCCACTACATGTCAGGCAAAATCCCAGCCAGAGTCACTGATTCCAGGGAAAGGGGGATGTACAACAGCTTGCTCTTGGCTTCAACTCAGGTACCTGAATCCCACCAATCCAAAGCAGGAAATATCTTCCAAGGCCTTCTACACACTTCCACAAGTCTATCAAAATGAAATCATTTATGCCGAGAATAAAAAGTTTTACATAAATGACAGCTGTAATTACTTAGAAAGACGCACACAAGGGACTGATCTTCAAATCTATAGCACCAAATTTCCTTAGTCTGTCATCTGGCTGATTCTCCACATGTCCCTTATGTTCATGAGCTATTTCTCAATGGAAACAGAGACAAGCAGTCAGAAAAATCCCAAACCAAGGCAAGACAGTCCTGGTCCTCAAATGAGTTGACTGGCCAGCGAGAGTCTCATGTTAAAAGAGGCAGCTGCCAAGATGCACAGGTCGCTACAAGATCTTTACTATCACATTTTACTACTCATCCAAATGGACACGTATTTAGACAAAGACTTTAATATGCAGTTCTGAGGTGTCTAAGTGTCAGAATAGATATACAAACAGCCTACCAGGCACCTTGCTTCCGGGGGCCAAGGAAAGGAGCAACCTTTCATTTAAGCTGGGCATCCTAACTCCATCCAAACATGGCAGTGCTTGTCCTGTGTTTTAATAGGCTGAGATCAAGTGTTTCAAACACCCACTTAGCTATTCTCAGACTTGCTTCCTAGTTCTTTGAGAGGTCAAAGGACTAACCAAATGGGCCAGCACAGGAGCTAGGTCATTGGAGAAAGAAAGAGCAGATTAAGAAGTATCTCTGTTGGGAAAGATGGTATGCTAGACTTAGCACTGTGTTTAAGTCCCACCCCTGTCATTTACTAGTGGTAAGACTATGGTTAAGTCACTCAACCTTTCTGAGCCTCAGTTTCCCCACCTGAAAAAATAGGCAAAGAATAACTATTCCAAAATAATTTATTTTCTTTGTTAATGCTATGTGCATTTTATTTTATGCATTTAAAACCATTATTCAGAAAATGGGACCACAGGTTTTGCTACACTACTAAAGGGGTTCATGATGCAAAAATGGTTAAAAGCACCTCTGCTCTAAGGGTTATTTTATTGTGATGATCAAATGAAATAAAGTATTCAAAACGCTTTGTAAGCCTTAAAGTATCACATAAATGTCAGGTACTCATTATTATGTTTTGGCCACTGCTTAACCAGAGAACTGGCATCAGGTGACTTGGTGAGGTCTATGGCCACATCTGTTGTACTACGTCCCAGGCCGAGATTCCAGACACAAAAGCAAGGCTTTACGCTCCCTTACTAGATATGGCCACCAGGCAATAAGAATCCTCTGAGAAGATCAACCAGCATTCAAAGACATGCACAGAGATACACATGTGCACACCTGTGAGAATTCTCTCTCCCTGACCTAAGAGCAGAGGCCAGGGCAGAAGGATCAAAGTGGAGATGCAGACTTTCTACTACTATTCACTAATCTCAAAAATAAATCTCTGGAATCAGATACTCTGAAAGGGAAAACTTCACCTTCCAGGAGAAGGAAAGAATACTGAACTTCAAACCCAAACAAACCCCCATCCCCTTATCAGTGCCAACGCTAAAGGCAATTTTCCATGACCACAAATACATGTTTTCCATGCTTTAGTTCCCTCATCTTGTAAAACTGGAGGAAGCAGTGGTTAGATTAAAATCTAGTTACTAAATGATCTCTCTGAGGTCTTGCCCATCTCTAAATCTATGACCTTATGTATGATCTTGTAAATTTGGTTTCTTCTGTATGGGAAGAGTCTAAATAGTTTGCCAAACATTTGAGACAGCAGCATCTGTCACTACCTCTCTGCTTCACTCCCTAGACCAGGGGAATTCCTAACCTGGGGTTTATGGTGTTGTTTTAATATTCTGATATGTAAACACACATATAATTGGTTTCTTTTGTAATTCTCTGCATTTTATTTTATGCATTTAGAAACACTTAAATGTCCAAATGCATAAAATATTAAATGTATAAAACATGTCCAAAAACATTTAAATGCATAAAATTCACAAGATGACAAAGGAAACCACACATACACAAGTGTATGTATGTATCATATATATCTAAATGCATAAAATGTGTCTGTTACAAAGGAAACCAATCATATATAATGTATGTATACAGCATAATGTGTTGTGAGAATACATTTATACATTTAAATGTTTTTGGACATGTTTTATACATTTGATGTTTGGACATTAGGCTTTGTCCACTACCAAAAGCATTTATGACACAAAAAAAGTTTAGGAACCCCCTGCCCTGATCTGACTCCTAGGAGAACAGGGGAAACTTTCGGATGTTTCTGTCTTATTCTCCCTTTTCCTATTTCCTGATCATATGCACAAAATCATTCTCCTACTGTACATTTAAACTGGGTTCTCAAAAATTCCCCCTTGCCTCAGTTTCTCTTCTTTCATCATTCTTTAACAGATGGACCTATCTGAGGCATCCCTTTTGACCATCCTCCACTCCCCTTTTCCTCCTTAGGGAGCCTTCAATTTCCTGTGACCTCAGAACTGATGACAGGTTGTGACAAACAACAAATGTAATCATCCCTCCTCTGTGTTATTATCTTTCTCTCCCCCCCCAACTCTTCTTCCTTCTCCCACAGAGAATTAAGGCCTGGTGACCATTTAGTCTAATAGACTAAACCACTTTCCTTCCAGGTAAATGGCTCTATGAGATGCTACCCTCAAAAAAACAGGGTTCACATGGGGCCCCTATGCCAAGGCAAGCAGGAAAGGCAGTGGATCACTCAGTGATTGTTTAATGGAATTTAAAATTACCCTCTTTTCTATTGCTTAATCCTACCATGATGACAGTAACCAAGAGAAACAGTTCAAAGCTAGGGAGTGGCAAAAATGAAAGCTAAAGTGAAAACCTACCTGCCTTAACCTTGCTGCTATGTAATCACCCCCTCAGCAGTCTATGGAAAACAGATAAGTCTCCTGCCTAGGCCTTCATCAGAATGGAATGCAGGAAACACCCGGCAAAAACAGCAGAGCAGGAATAAAACAGGTGATGGAAGAAAGGTTACTGATGGGCATCCAGATTCATCGTATCAAATCCGTAAGCATAGAAACACCCTGGATCAAACCGATGAATGGGCCATCCAACCCCAGAATTCAGTCTCTTAAGAGCAGCAGCGGGGGACATTTTGTAAGGGAACAAATTATGGTGTAGCAGAGAGTCAGAAGGCTTGGGCTTCCATTTTAGCCCCAGCTCTATTCTTTATGAGCCATTCATAGGATCACAAGTCTAGCCTTGGAGGGAACCTCTGGGGTCATCCTGTCCAACCTGCTGATTTTTACAGTCAAGGAAACTGAAACCTGTTAGGCAACCTTGGACCAAGAGTCACTTTTCCTCTTGTTTCTCAATTTTCTCATCTGTAAAATAGGGGAAATAACTGCTTTGTTTGCCTGAGAGGACTGATATGATGATATACAGGGGGAAAAAATGGCATATAAAGGCATTCTCAAAACTTTAAGTAGCATTTTTAAAAATAGAGTTCTATCATTATTATGGTAGCTGTCCTTAAGGACACCACACCACCGTCAAAGGCTAGGAATGCCCTCTTGAACTCTAACATGGTTTCAATGGCCATTTCCTTTATAATATTTGTTGCTGTTCAGCCAGTTTCAGTCATATCCAACTCTGTGACCCCATCTGGGGTTTTCTTGGCATAGGTACTGGAGTGGTTTGTCATTTCCTTCTCTGGCTCGTTTTACAAATGAGGAAACTGAGGCAAATAAGTGACTTGTCCAGGGTCACATAGCTAGTATCTGCGGCCAGACCTGAACTTAGATCGAAGATGACTCTTCCTGACTCCAGGCCTGACACACTATCCGCTGCTGTGTGTGCCTAACACACACCAGCTAGCTGCCGCTTCTTTATAACAAGGGAACACCCAATCTCAAAAGACCCAGTCTCATTTTTCGCCTACTGGATGCTATTATCAGTATTAGTTATAACCACTGTACAAATGAGGAAACTGAGGCTCAGAAGTTAAGTGACTTATAGTCATACAACTATGAAGGCAGCATTTGAATCTAGGCCTTCCTGATTCCACAACCAACACTGTTATTCATCCCTATGTCCTGTGATCCTATGAACAGTCCATAAAAAACAGAACTAGAGCTAGAATGGGTCTTCATAAAAGATAGCAGTTACCAAATATAGTTCATTCAGTTACCTATCATATCGCGTCTAAATCCTTATGCCTAGACATCTGTTTCTCTAAAAAAAAAAAAAATTAAAGGCTTGAACCCAGTGCACTACACATTCCACTCTAAATTACAGGTGCCTCTGAGACAGCGGGAGGAGACTCATGACTAGACCATA